TAACTGAAAACACACACACACACACACAGCCCAGTGCCCAGTCCAGGTCCCTTTTGAACACACACACACACACACACACACACTGGTGTACACTGGCCTGTTAGGATTGTTGTGTGTCGTGTGCAGGCTCTGTCTCTATATTCTGTCTCTCTCCTCTACTGTCTCCTGTTTGTGTGATGTAAAGCTCTTGTGGTCAGAACTGTTGCTGTTTTAAACACGCTACATAAACTAGTACATGTGAAACACTGCACACACACACACACACACACACACGCACACGCACACAGAGAGAGAGTCCAATGCTAACCCACAGTGAGAGTCAGATCTTCAAACACACACAGAGGATAACCCACTCTTGTGCTGTCCGCCAAAGTGCAGCCCAGTCGTGTAGAGGGTCAGTTCACACAGCAATGAGGCAATGCCAGCTGTGAGATCACTGCAGGAATACATGCGCTGTTGCTGCAGCCGTGATCAATAATGAATGAAAGCATGTATTTCAGCGGTCATGGTTTTCAGTGGTGTGATCCGGGTCCACACTGATGCACACATCATACAGGCTGCTTCATTCTGCAGGAAAACAGCAGCGCTCTGAATTAAAGACGCAGGAAACACCAACAATAATGCATGTTCAATATGACACTTGCTGCTTATTGGACAGCTTCTGAATGCAGGCACACAGCTGTAACTCTCTGCTGTGTAGTGTGTGCATCAGCGCAGATTAGAGGAACACTAGTGAAAGCACTAGGTGGAGCTCATGGTCACTATAGGGCTGATGCAGATTGAGTGGTGTAGTCAGGGCGTGACCTACAGGGAGGGGTTGACCTCTCTAATTAACACTTGATCCCCCTGATGGACGTCAGAACATGTATGGCTGCTCAGTCCTTTAACAGGGAGAGATAGTTTGCTCTGATGTGATGCTTCTTAAATAATAACATTAATAATTCAATTAAATAGAAAATAATGCGGTGGCTCAGTGGTCAGCACTGTGGCCTCAGAGCAAGAAGGTCACTGGGTCGAGTCCCGGCTGGGTCAGTTGGTGTTTCTGTGTGGAGTTTGCATGTTCTCCCCACGTTGGTGTGAATTTCCTCCGGGTCTAGTATGGGTGTTTCCCAGTACTGGGTTGCAGCTGGAAGGGCATGCACTGCATGTGTAAAACATATGCTTGAATAGTTGGCGGTTCATTCCACTGTGGCGACCCCTGATTAATAAAGAAAGAAAATATAACATAAATAGGCGCGTCACAGTGGCGCAGTGGGTAGCACGATTGACTAACAGCAAGAAGGTCTCTGGTTCGAGCCTCAGCTGGGTCAGTTGGTGTTACTATGTGGAGTTTGCATGTTCTCCCCATGATGTCGTGGGTTTCCTCCGGGTGCTCCGGTTTGTATGGGTGTTTCCTAGTAGTGGGTTGCAGCTGGAAGGGTATTTGCTATGTAAAACATATGCTGAAATAGTCGGCGGTTCATTCCACCGTGGATTAATAAAGGGACCAATCCAAAAAGAAAATGAATGACTATACCATAAACAGGGTAGCACCATCGCCTCACAGCAGGAAGGTCTCTGGTTGGAGTCTCGGCTGGGTCAGTGGGTGTTTCTGTGTGGAGTTTGCATGTTCTCCCCGTGTTGGTGTGGGTTTCCTCCGGGTGCTCCGGTTTCCCCCACAGTCCAAACACATGCGCTATAGGGGAACTGATCAACTACACTGGCCGTAGTGTAAGAGTGTGAATGAGTGTGTATGGGTGTTTCCCAGAGATGGGTTGCAGCTGGAAGGGCATCTGGTGTGTAAAACATATGCTGGAATAGTTGGCGGTTCATTCCACTGTGGTAACTCCTGATTAATAAAGGGACTAAGCTGAAGAAAATGGATGAATATAATATAAATACATATTTGAGCACCCCTATAACGGTTCATACCATTGCCAATGCAATGCATAACCCAGCAGTCAGCCTAGATGTGGAAACAAACTCATTCCTCAGTCTGATGCGGCAGATCTACAGACATCTCCAATTCCACAATACATTTTTCTAGTAAAACAGTTGTTTATATTGAGATTTAGCCTAAAAATAACTCCAAGATGCTTAGTGTGAGCCACAGTAACCTCTTATGGTCAGAATACACCACATTTCCCTCAAAGCACTGAAAGCTGAAGGGTTTCGTCATGACTATATCAGATAACTGTGCTGGACGCACTCCTCAAACTAACATCACTGGAGCCGCTGATCCTCCTATAGTTCCTCTCTAACTGTCCCCCCGAGCGCTGTGTGTCTGTTTTCTGCATGTAAATGACTGTGGATGTGGGATTTCTCCAGTGAACACAGCCTCATTGATTCAGGGCGATGGGAAATCCTGATTTTAGCACCTCTGAGATGGAGATCCGACAGCTAAAAGAGCCGCGCTCCACCTTTGGCAGCTCATCAGCACATGAATCTGAAGTCACACAGCGAGAGAGAGAGAGGAGGAGGAGAGTGATGAAGAGCAAACAGAAAGGAGCTGGACGCCGCTTTGGCAGCGCAGGCGTGTTTCCCAGGAGGATTTTACTCACACACACACACTCTCACACACACACTCTCACACACACACACAGATCTGTTTGTCTGGCAGCCTTTCTTCCCTCATCTTTTCTCTCGCATCGCCCCTTAAGCTCTCTCACACCATTTATCCTGGCGCTTCAGCATCCTGCTTTTCACTTTAATTAGGCTCATTTCTTCCTCCTCACTGGACCTGTGTGAGAGCACGCACGGAGATGTGTTACGAATGCTGATAGTGTCCCAAAACACGGATCCCACACACACACACACACTCAACCTCAGTGTAATTCCCACATTCTTGAGTGAATGATGCTGTGGATTGCGTGAGATACTCTGAAGCGCACACACACACACACACACTGGATTCCCCCTGGATGAGCTGTACATTGATCCTGACTTATAAACACCCCCCCCCCCATCTCAGCACATCACACCTGCCCCCGCTGACCTCTGACCCCGCGCTGGTGGGGGAGGACATGCACATGAACATACATGTACACACACACACACACACACTAATGCACACACAAATGGACACACACATACATACACATAACCATACATGTACAAAGACACTTATGCACACACACATACACACACACACACACACACACACACTCAAGCACAAATAGACATACACTAATGCACACATATGTACACACACACACTAACACACAACTGGACATATACAGACACATGTACACACATGCATTCATGCAGACGCACACACACACACACACACACACACAAATTGACACGCATATACACACATACATGTTAATGCACACACACACACATACATATACATGTACAAACACACTTATGCACACACATGCATGCATGCATGCATGCACACACACTCTTAGGCACACGCAAACACACACATACATTTATGCACACACACACACAAACACATACATTCATGCACATACACACACACACACACACACACATTCATTCACACAAACACACATTCATGTGCACACACAAACACACACGTGCACATATTCATGGACACAAACACACATACATTTATGCGCACACACACATGCATGTATACACACATATACATGCATGTATCCACATACACACAAACTTAGCACGCACACACACACACATTGATGCACACACAAACACACATTCATGCGCACACACAAACACATACATTCATGCACACAAACACACACATACATTCATGGGCACACACAAACACAAACACACACATGCACACATTCATGGACACAAACACAGATGCATTTATGCGCACACACACATGCATATATGCACACATGTACATGCATGTATCCACATACATACACACACACACATTCATGCACACACACACACATACATTCATGCGCACAAACACACACAAACACACACACACACACACATTCATGCACACAAACACACACACACACACACACACACATTCATGCACACACACACACACACACACACACACACACACATTCATGCACACAAACACACATACATTCATGCATACACATTCACACACTTATGCACACACACTTATGCACACATTCACTCATGACCAAACACACACACACACACACACCTTATTACTGTCAACCTGCAGAATGAGTTAACGCACAATTGACAATATTCTCAAAATTCCAGAAACCTCATCCTCATCATCATCCTCCTCCTCCTCATCCTCCTCCTCCTCCTCCTCAGCGCTTCAGTGTTCATGAACTCTTCCATTGCTGAACCCAAACTGACACACTACAGAGATCAAACACCTCATGATGATAATAATGTTTGAGCGAAAAGAGCTTTCATTTATTCAATATTACTGCAGGAACACATGTGTGCCCATACCGCATCTTCACACAGACACACACACACACACACACACACACACACACACACACACACACACACACACACACACACACACACACACACACACACACACACACACACACACACACACACACACACACACACACACACACACACACACACACACACACACACACACACACACACACACACACACACACACACACACACACACACACACACACACACACACACACACACACACACACACACACACACACACACACACACACACACACACACACACACACACACACACACACACACACACACACACACACACACACACACACACACACACACACACACACACACACACACACACACACACACACACACACACACACGCACACACACACATACACACACACACACACACAGCATGATTGATCAATAAAACTGAACAAAGAGATTCCACAGGAGCCACCGAGAGTCTCCATGAGCCTGTTCCGCTCTCACATCTACTGCAAGACTTCCTGAAGCTTCATCAGAGACAGGTCAATCAGCAGATCAATTAAACAGTCTTCATCATCATCATCATCACGCATACACAACACACACCAGATCACAGTGTTACAGACAAACAGGCGCGCGCGGATGAGACTCACCTGTCAGGCTGGCCGTGTGTGTGTGTTCAGCAGGTGAATGAGCGTGTGTGTGTGTGTTGTCTTCTTCTTCTTGTTGTCGTGTCACGCGCTGTGCTCGGGTGTCGCGCGCGGAGGAGGCTGGAGGAGTGCTCGGGTAATCCGCTGTTCGGAGCTCATGAACCGGCAGACTGAAGCAGAGCAGCTCGGGGACCCTGATGTGTGTGTGCGCGTGTGTGTGAGTGTGTGTGTGTTTACACTCCCGCTGCTCCGCCTCACTGCGAGCCGGTCCTCCTCCGGTCTCCACCTTCAGCTGGAGGATACACACACATGCGCGCGCGCACACACAAATATACAGAGTCCCTACTAACCATGTATTCAAAAGCGTGCGTGTGTGTGTGTGTGTGTGTGTGTGTGTGTGTGGTAGTGGTGGAGGTGTGGGGGGGGGGGGTATTTTACATAAGAAGAAAGCAATGTGAGGCACACAGGTGTACTGGGAGTCACTTGATGCAGTTACACTAGTACTATAACCTGACTTCTGCAGTCTTGATCTGACGCACACACACACACACACACACACACACACACACACACACACACACCACACGGATTAAACCATTAAACAGAATCTATTAAACCCCCAAATCAATGAAGGGAATGGGAAACGCTGTCATCTGTTCACACTCTAGCTGTTCTGCACTCCTCTACAGTGGGCTGTGGGGAGGAACACTGCTCATCCTCTGCTCCATCATCTCTCGGCTGTGTTCTGAGGTCATGAGCTCTTCTTTATGGCTGTAATGTAAAGCTTCAGCAGAAGAAAAGAGGATCACGAACACAACTCTAAGCTCTCAGATTATATTAAGCTCCTCACAACACTTTCACTTCTTCACGACTGTGTCATGCTGCGCTTTTGTTTTTGCTCTTCAGTCATTTAAGTATCATTTATTCCCTTCTGTGATTTATTAAATTGGTTTTGTTCTATATGTTGGTGTGTTGATGAGATTATAAAGCGGATGTCATTCCAGTTTACTTTGGTCATTTTTAATGTAATTCTGCATCACAATTTATTGATGTTATGAACACAGAACTAAAGAAACTGGACTGAAACTGCGGCGTCACGATAGCACTGTGGCCTCACACCAAGAAGGTCTCTGGTTTGAGTCTCGGCTGGGTCAGTCGGTGTTTCTGTGTGGAGTTTGCATGTTCTCCCTGTGTTGGTGTGGGTTTCCTCCAGGTGCTCCATCACAGTCCAAACACATGCGCTATAGGGGAATGTATGAGTGTGATTGAGTGTGTATGGGTGTTTCCCAGTGATGGGTTACAGCTGGAAGGGCATCCGCTGTGTTTGAAACACATGCTGGAATAGTTGGCGGTTCATTCCACTGTGGCGACCCCTCATGAATAAAGGGACTAAGCCGAAGGAGAGTGAATGACTGAATCTTAAACACAACAGATCTTGGAATCAACAGTCAGACATTGAGCTGAACTCTTCTGCACTCTTTCCTGCTTTCTGACTGTGTAGATTGTGTCAGCATGGGTGAAGTACAGAGAGTAGAGAGAAGACATGACGATACTTCATATTGTGAACCATTCCAGCAGTTCAGGCAGGCAGGAGAGGAGTGTAGGATGCTGGTGTAGATGATTAAAACTGACTAATCGATCATCATAACCACCGCCTGCTCTGGATACGGGCCGGGTCCAAGATTATGTGGTCTGGAGACAGACATAGATGCCATTTAAATGACAGTGTCTTCACAGTGCCAAGCTGTTTGGATTATAGTGTGTCCACGCCAACTATTCCAGCATATGCTTTACACAGCGGATCACCCTCCAGCTGTAACCCATCACTGGGAATCACCCATACACACTAGTTCACACACACTCATACACTAAAGCCAATTTAGTGGAGAACATGCAAACTCCACACAGAAACGCTAACTGACCTAGCCAAGGCTTGAACCTGGGACCTTCTTGCTGTGAGGTAACAGTGCTAACCACTGCGCCACCCGTTTAAGTTTTAATTTATACTATTTATAATTTTACCTTCAGTTTTTATCTTGCGTTCCGTTTGGAAAGAGGTTTGGTCTCAAGCACTGTGTTTCAAATGGAAGGGCTCCTCCCTATTCTCTAACCCAGGGGTCAAAAAACTTGTTCCTGGAGCGCCGGTGTCCTGCAGAGTTTAGATTCAACCCTAATCAAACACACCTGAACAAGATAATCAAGGTATTACTAGGTATACTTGAAACACCCAGACAGGTGTGTTGAGGCAAGTTGGAGCTAAACCCTGCAGGGACACCGGCCCTCCAGGATCGAGATTGGTGAACCCTGTCCTAACCCCTTTGGAAGGTGTAGTGACCTGCTTTGACAGGATTAGGGAATAGGGATGAGATCTTCTAAATGTAACAGTGTGTGACACCAAAACAATTTCCTGTGCAAAGGATCACAGGGAACTGAAGGGTATCATTCATCCTGAAGGACACTTCAACATGGTGGACGTGACTGTGTTCACTCTGAAGTGCCCTTCAGAGGGTGATATATCCCGTTTGGAATGCACCGAATGTCTCTGCAGTCCACGAGTTGAGATTCCTATTGCCCCGCTGAATATACATGTTAATATACATATAATACTGTAAATATATACACCTTTAGATAACACTAACAATGGTAAATACAACAGTACAGCTTCTGTACATTTACAGATTAGAAGTGCCTCATTTTATAAAACCTGAGAAACTGATGTCCAGCTCACAGAAAGTGCTGCTCGTTCATCTCCTGTCTGGATTATTTCCTTTGTATTATTTAGGGATTATCATCCGTGCACTGCACCGTCCAGTGTGTTTGAGTCTATATACAGTTGAGTTATTCTCCTACATGTATTTTCAGGATCATTTTGATTTGGACCGTGTCAGTACGGCTGCTCTTCATGTCATGTTGGCCTCTATGAAGCTGACGAAGTTGGCAATGTGTGTGTAGACGGTGTAGAGCTCTGAGCTGCAGACTGAAGACTCGAACCCGAAGCTGACCAGCCCGAGGAGCGTCCAGTGCTGCGGGGTGTGTGCGGAGCCGGCCGGGGACAGCAGGATCCCCCCGGTGTCGGCAGGGCAGATGTTGGAGCGCTCCGCTTGCCGTCCGCACAGCATGTTTTCAGACACACTGATGGGCAGGCCGTGGCTGGCGTACTGCTGCTCACACTGCACCGTATCCCCCATCAACACGTGACCCACCCGCGCCCGCTCCCCGTCTGCATCCGCGGGATCTGGTTCCAGAGACCAGCCGGTCACCAAACCCTGGTCTGCAGTCAGCTGAGGGTCCGGCAGGCACACCGGCACCACGTGCTCTCCGATACGAGCCTTATCCAGCAGCTTCAGCACCGCAACGTCTGAGTCCAGGACCAGAGGGTCGAAGGTCGGATGCAGAGCGATGGAGGAAACCTAAAGGGAAGAGCACAGTGTTCACGCTCGGGGTGTACAGTCAGTGCTGTTTTAGAGATGTAGGCAATATACAGTTGACGTCAGACTTATTCGCCCCCCTTTCAATCTTTTTTCTCGTTTAAATATTCCCCAAATGATGTTGAACAGATTCAGGAAATGTTCACAGTGTGTCTGATAATGTTTGTTCTTCTGGAGAAAGTCTTATTTGTTTTATTTTGGCTAGAATAAAAGCAGTTTTTTCATTTTTAGACACTATTTTAAGGTCAATATTATTAGCCCCTTTAAGCTACTGTATATATTTTCCAACCCAGGCTCATTTTGAAAACGTGGTCCCGCTTACGTTTCTGGAGACCGCGATTTATGTAGCTGGAGGTACGTATGGCTGCATTTAAATTGATAAGCGAACACTAGGGGGCGGTGTGACGCCGTTCCTTTTCGTGCTTACTGGCTGACCGCTTACCTCCGTGTGCAGGGCTTTCCCGCCGCAACCAGTTCGTACAGGTAGCTCGTCGTGTACGTCAGCGGAGTTGAGACGCAGAGCTGACCACAATGACGATGACGACCGGGTTCGAGTTTTCAGAAATCAAGTAAGTCAAAAACAGAATTCAAAAAACAAAGTGAACGAGTTCTTTACAGGGCGAGAATGTGGTGAAATCCGAAAACGCGGTCAAAATCAGACGAGGGCTTTTCTTTTACTGGACGGCTTTTGTAAATTGTTGGTGGGTCAATCTGTAAAACTGGTTGGGTTTAGGGAAGGAGGAGGAGGGTGTGTCAGTCGATTGGCCGGTCGCCCAGTCAATCATTCAGTCAGTCAGACAGACGGTCACTCAACAGCGGCCTCCGGTGGGTTTACACGAGAACAGCGCAGGCGCGAACAGCGCTCGCGAGAGCACACAAAGTGGCGTCTGGCGAATTCGCGAAAACAAAAACTACACAAATACACACCTCCCGGATGTATTTCACAGACTCCAGAAACGTCCACGGGACTACATTTTCAGAATGAGCCTGGGTTGATATTTTCCCACAGTCTACAGCATAAACCAGCTCATTATTTCTTAAGATGAGGGAATGTTTGTTGCTCGTCTAGAAAACACGTCTTGATTTCAGACTTTTTAGATATCTGGACTAGAAGCAAGACACAAATGCAGTGTCGTACAGCTGGAGCATTAGTGCACTGACCCGTACAGTCTGCAGGCCTTTAGTGTGTCTGCGCTCGCTGCGGTAGTGTTTCCCCAGCGTGACTCTGAGTGTGTGTGGGTCCAGCGGGTGTGTTTTCCCCAGTTCCGTGACGCAGTGAGCAGCGACCACCACACTGCGCTGGTTGACCAGAGCTCCACTGCAGACCAGCTGCCACCCGTCCTCCGCCTGATCCTCCGCCTGATCCTCCTTCCCGCTCTTCAGCTTCAGCTTCCCTGCTGGACGTCTGTAGATGGAGGCTAGCCAAGGCCACTGCGTCTGCTCCGGTTTCTGAGGGTCGAAGGACGATAGCTTCCCACACACTGACACACACACACACACACACACACACACACACACACACACACATGTAGACAAGAGGAAAACTATAAAGCTTAGAGCGATTTGAGAAACACATGCAATTACAAAAAACACCAGCAAACTCAGTTGGACCGCAAACGTGTCGCAAATTCTCACATTGCAAAAAAAACTTCTTGCTGAGCATTTTACAACTAATAATGCATTCCACAATCATGCTGATGAAGGCACGGTTGTAAATATTGTGCATCATACATCCAAATATGTGCACTCACAATGCGGTGATGTGGAGGGTTAGGTTGTGTGTGTGTGTTGTGGATCTCTGCATGTGTTTTAATGATGCTGGTCTCAGTGGCGCCCTCACCTGGAGAGCAGGAGACGTGGCGTCCGCTCCACTTGCCCATCTTTAGGCAGGTTCTGCGGGAGCTGCCCGAGTGCTGGTAATACTGAGACGCGCACTCGTACTCGATGTGTGTGTACAGATGGTGGAAACCCTGCGGGAGCGTGGGTAAACTCAGCGGGCTCTGCGTCGCACGCACATCCTTCAGGAAGACAGTCGACACGGAGGAAGAGTAAAACTTGTGCACTGGAGTCTTCCTGGAAAACACAGACAGAACACACTGATTTGGAGGAGAGCTATTCTGCATCATTTAACGAGATGTACAATCTAGTGAAGATGTCTAGTGAAGCTGAGAGCAGCACACAGATCATGTTCTCCAGCTCTCTGAAGCTGACCCTTTCAGGCTTTGATCCTAACTGTGGTGTTTTGGTGACTGTCGCTTTAAATGCAAATGAGAACGAGAAGAGGGCGGAGCTACAGACAGCTATGCATCATTATAACAGCAGACTCAAAACTACTTATTTGTTCTTAAAAGTTCCTTATTTGATGAAATCTCTGCAAGCAACTTCTTCTATTTCTATGTTTGCAGTGTATAAAGAAGCTGATAACACTCAGAAATGGAGTGACAGGAACAGAAGTGTGTGTGTTTTCACCTGGACGGGACGTGAGGAGGAAGAACTTTCTGTCTGACCAGAACAGAGACTTTCGGCTCTCGACAAGCTGGAAAATACAACAACACAGGTCAGGCCACAACAGCTGATGTCAGTACTGTGTTTATTCAGAGACCAGTCATACTGAGGTGTTTCAGCTGTAGTTCTGCCACACTCCTCCTGCAAACAAGTCTTAAGGTGGGCAACAGTACGGGCTCTTAAATGTCGCATTCTGTGCTTCAAAATGCCACACGTTCTCTATTGGAGACAGGTCGGGACTGCAGGCAGGCCAGTCCAGTCCGTGTCTCCTCCTCCTCGGCAGCAGGACTCTGTAATGTGAGCTGAATGTGGTTCTGCATGGTCATGTTGGACTCTGCAGGGCGTCTCTGGAGCAGAAGGCAGCATATTGAGCTCCAGAATCTCTCTGTGCTGTTCAGCATTACTGGAGCATCACAGAAGAGCAGGTCACCTTCACCAAGAGCACCGACACAACCCCAGACCATGACAGAGCCGGGCTTCTGGACTTGTTGCTGGTGTCAGTCTGGATGATCCTCTTCTTCTTTGGCCTGGCGTCCATTTCTCCCAGAAACACCTGAAACACTGCTTCATCTGAGCACCACTGTCTCCACTGTGTGATGCTCCATCCCAGATGCCCAGAGCCCACAGCAGCACTTCTGGACACTGTTAACATAGGGCTTCCTCTTGGCACAGTGCAGTTGTGACTGGTGTTTGTGGATGTGACTCTGTATTGTGGTGCTTGTCACAGGTTTAGCGCAGTAGTGCTGAGCCCATGTGCTGATCTGCTTATAGATGAACCAGGACTCTTGATGCAGCGCCCCCTGAGGGGTCGGAGGTCACGGTTGTTCAGCTCAGGCTTGCGCTCTTGTCCTTTATGCACTGAAACTCCTCCAGATTCCTTCAATCTTTAATGATGTTCTGCACTGTTGAAGGTGAAATATCCACATGTCTTCCTCTCTTCCTCTGAGGAGCATTGTGTTCACACACTTCACTCCTCAAACTGGTGATCCTCGACCCATCTCTGCTCCTGAAGGACTAGAGCTTTCCTGATGCTGCTTTTGTAGCAGATCATCATCACCATCACCTGTTATTATTTGTACACCATCATTATTTTCACCTGTCCCAACTTATTAGGAATGTGTTGCATGTCTGAAGGATGCATATTTACAAATGAAATGAAGTTGGCCAGACATCATATTGTCTGCAGTCAAATATAAACAAAGGTTCAGATTGATTACTGCAGTAAACCCAGAGCTCAGGGAATGAACAGTACCTCTAATGCAGACGGGTTGAGCTCCAGACCAGCTGCCGTCAGCCTGACAGGTTCTGCGGTCGCTGCCGACCAGAGCGTACGACTGATTACAGAAGAAGCGCAGAGTTTCAGGACGCACACCAGACACTCGCTCAGAGAAACCGTGATACAGCGGAGGCGGTGGAGGACACGGAGTCACTTCACCTGCTGAGAGACACCAGAGTTCACATCATGAAGACATAATAATCATAATCACTTTAAACAGAATTGTGTGAGGTGTTATGTCAACATATCAGCAGTTGAATGCTACAGATGATGTAAATGGTGCAGTGTGAACTCTCTGCATACGAGTGTGTTTGGGAGGATCCGGTCAGACACTCCAACCCAAAGCTCTGGTTATTAGCAGTGCAGTTTCTGAACAGGAGGCAGGCAGTGGGAATATAGTGAGATTCTACGCTTCGCTTAATTCTGTTTTGCACACATATGAAGGTGTTTGCTTGTAGCCCACATGCTGTGAGAGGAGAAGCTGAGCGTGTCTGAGTGTGGAGGAGTTCCTGAGAGTCACCTTCATTCTGTGCGGTTGGCGGAGACTCTGCTGTGGGTTCTTGCTGTACATCTGCTGTCTCTACATGTTGTGGATCCTCCTGAAGAGCAGGTTTAACCGCGGCTCTCGCTGTGCTTCTGCTGGCTGTGGTTGTGGTTTCTGTGCTGTAGTGAACAGCAGTGGGTGATGGAGGTTCTTCAGTTTGCTTCAGCCGCGGCGTGTCTGCATTTTCATCGATGTCATTGCTGTCGAAGAATCCAGTGTTATTCTCTTGCTGTGTGACGTCTACTTCATTGAGAAGGTTTTCTTTCCTGTCTTCATTCAGTCTGGATATTGTATATTCTCTCCCTGTGTTATCATCTGTGGTTTTGTTCTCCATCTGATTGTCTATCAACACAATATCTACTAATTCCACATCTCTGCTTGGAGTTACGACTTTCTCTTCGATGTGGAGATGTTCATCTTTACCGAGGACTTTAAGAGTGTCTTTATCCTCTCCAGGATCTTTCTTTTCAATGGTGTTGATGCTGCTGTCGCTCTCCTTATATTCAGCTTTAGGCTTTTCTTTCACAAATATACTGACGATTTCTTTCTCCACGTCTTTTCCCAACACTAGATCGTAGCCCTTTCCTGCGGTGGGCTTCTGTGCTTTGATATCTTTATCTGGTTTGGACTCGTTTTCTTCTTCCTGTGAGGTTTTGTTCTTGGCATCGCCCACATCGTCTGCTCCAGAGGGTTTGACTTTGCCTTTGTCTTGCTCATGATCTGCTGTAGGAATCACATCCGGCTCTGAAAACACAACACATTCATGTTTAAAACACTTCACTATGCACAAAAGGTACCACTGGAGAACCAAAATAACCAGACCTACCATATATATGTCAATGAAAAGTGACAATTATGATTTAATGTACATTCATTCATTCATTTTCTGCCGCCTTTCTGGGGCCGAGTTGCGGGGGCAGCAGTCTTAGGAGAGAACCACAGACTTCCCTCTCCCCAGAGACTTCCTCCAGCTCCTCCAGGGGGATCCCGAGGTGTTCCCAGGCTAGCCGAGAGACATAGTCCCTCCAGCGTGTCCTGGGTCTTCCCCGAGGCCTCCTCCTGATGGGACATACTTGGAACACCTCCCTAGGTAGGCGTCCAGAAGTCATCCGAAACAGATGCCCGAGCCACCTCAGCTGACTTCTCACGATGTGGAGGAGCAGCGACTCTACTCCAAGCTTCTCCCGAATCATCATGATCTGAAACCCTACCTATAAGTGTGCGTTCTACCACCCTTTGAAGGAAACTCATTTTGGCCGATTGTATCCGAGATCTAGTCGTTTTGGTCATGACCCAAAGCTCATGACCATAGGGGACAGCACACAAAGCCTTGCCTTTTGGCTCAGCTCCTTCTTCACCACAAGGGACTGGTACATCGATTAAATGTACAATGCATTGGAAACCTTGCATTGATTATTCCTAAGATATGGAAATATCAACTGTAGGCTGTATTTTCTTCTCATATCTGGGGCCTAAACTCTGGAACAGCCTTTCTAGCACAGTTTTAGGAGGCAGACACACTCTGTCAGTGTAAATCTAGACTAAACACACATCTCTTTGCATTAGCATACACATGAACACAGAACTTTGAAATCCTCTAAAGGATAGTTAGACTGCATTAATCAGGGCAACCGGAGCCGGGAACACTTCCCAAAAGACACAGTAATTTCAACGGCATCTCTGTTTATGTTCGTCTGTCTTTCCTTATCTACATAATCTTGGATCCGGCCCGTATCCTGAGCAGATTCTTATTGTGTAATCAATGAGTCAAGAGGTCAAGATTGATTCCTGCAACGACCCTGGTGGCTTAATAAACAAGTACAAATACAGCAGGTCTATTCCACCAGCCAGACCTTTCTCGAGTACCTGTGATGCAGGTTGGTGCCGTCCCGCTCCAGGTGTTGTTTCCCAGGCAAGTTCTCTGAGGGGCTCCCTTCAGCTTATACTGCTTATAGCAGAAATACTGTATAGCAATAAGCACATCGTTTGGTCCATAAACCAGGAAGTGGTCTCCGTTCTCTGGCTTTGGAGGAATGCCGCAGTTTTGGAAAGGCACTGGTGAAGAGACACAACCGTGCTTCAGTCATTACTGTATGCATACTCAACACACAGATTGCATTGCATTAAAGGTTTACAGTTACTTAAACTCAGCCACGTTCCTGAAGGACCACTAGCACTGCATGTCTTGGATGTCTCCGTTGTCTGTCACACCCACTTCAGGTAGTGCTTTCAGTCTCCGCTAATGAGCTGATGATCTGAATCAGGAGTGTTTGGTTAAGGGGACGTGGAAATTGTGCAGAGCTGGTGGTCCTCCAGGAACGTGGTTGAGAAACACTGCTGTAAATCGAACCCATGAGCTACTGCTTGGAAACCGGCTTACCACACTGTGGAGTTGGCGAGCTCCATGAGCCGTCCAGCAGACAGGTGGAAATGCGGAAACCCTTTAAAGTGTGTCCCGGTTCACACTGGAACACAACATGACCTCCGACCCGCTCGTCCAGATGCCTCATAGAGCCGTGAGCTGGAATCAAAGGCCTTCTGCACTCCAGCACTGGCGGATCACACACAGCAGATGGTATTAGAGGTTATTTGCGTGGTGTAAATGCACCCAGTGTGGGCAGTGTATAAGTGCAAAGGCTGACTCAGACTTCTGTGTACAATTGCACATGACAGGTCCAGTGTAGCCTTGTAAAAGAGGCCTCTCGGTAAACGTAACTACACAGCACCAGAGCTTTGATTGGTCAGGTTAGTTATGGTGATGAGTGTGGGCGGGGCTGAGAGCCATGTGGGTGGGGCGAGTCTAGTGGCATGAGCGTTTAGGTCCCGTAGAGAAGCTCCAGATGGACACTTTAGTTTTGTGTTTACCTCATAATTGTTGCACGTTCTCCGGTTCCCACCTCGCTCTTTCTTAAATGAGTATGAGTTTGATAGAAGTATAACCCAGCCTTAAGTGTGAATAAACACGCTTTAAACCATTTTAAGCAGAGCAACAATAACAAACAAGCTGCTATCTGAGTCTAGAACGTCTAAAAAGTGACTTAAGAGAGGTCATAGTAAGTCGGCTCTCACCATGTTCACACCTCTTTCCGGTGTACCCGGCCAGGCAGGCGCAGTGGTAGGAGCGCGAGGAGTCCACCACACAGGTGCCGTCATGCAGACACGGAGAGGATATGCACTCTACACAAACACAGACGCACAGCATTACACCACTGCCTGGATGATGCAGGTCGAGTCACTCTGACAGGGTCAAACTGTGATAGATGACTGGGTCAGGGCATCTCCAACAGAGGAGCATGTTCTAGGGCAGTGATGCTCGACCCTGTTCCTGGAGATCCGCCTCCCTGCAGAGTTCAGCTGCAACCTTGATCAAATGCACCTGTGTTTAATTACCAATTTCTCCTACTGAAGCTGTGGTCACGCTAGATTTTGAGCAGGAGAAATTCTGTCGTACACTGTGGGACGCTAGTCTGCCACTGTTCTCACGTTTGCATTGACTTGAACACATTTTACATGCACAAATACTTATTTCTGTGTTTACTGTGAACCCAGCCTAAAAGGCTTTGATCGCCCCCTGTTGGTTCAGTGTGTGTTTAACATGCATCACAGTGTGTTTTTACATTTTCATGTGGACAGAGATTATTTTTATACACAGCTATATAGATGTAGAGGCGCTCCCCCTGCTGGACGCACTAACACATCATCCAGAAATACAGTTTCCCCCATCCAGGAACTCCAGGATCATAACTCTGCTTAGCTTCAGTGGAAACCAGTCACACCAGTAAGACCACTGAAGTTACATCTTTTAAAGATGTTTACAGATGCTGCTACTGCTTCCAGATCAGACACTGTTTTAATTTTGACGGATCTGAGTAATCTTATACAGAATAATCTTTACAAGCAGGATCTTTATCTTTAATAATAATTATATATAATGATATAAAAAATAAATCTGAAATAAACTCACAGCTGCATCTAAAAGCTGTTATTGAATGGTTTAATGGTGTGCTCCGAGAAGAAACCCTTAAAACACTCATAGAGGTGCACTTGCTCAGAATGCTGCTGCCATCTAGTGGATAAAGCATGCACTTACACCTTTAAAATGAAGTTAAACATACAATTTTTGCATGGATTTTCTTTTATTTCTATCATTTTTTGGGGGTATTTTTTATTAATTGTATTGTCTAGATGACTGAGTGGTTTGTTAAGCAACATCTTTAAAGCATTAGATTTACAGACCGCTCGTAATACAGCAACACATGTTCTGCACTAATAAAACCACCCATTCACCATTTATATGCATTGAGCTGTTTGCTAATGTAACCCTGCCGGTCCTACACCACCCAACCCGCTCTGAGCCGGGATCGAACCGGCGACTCTCTGCATGGGAGTTAATTACTCTAACAAGGAGGCTAAACACCATGAGGTCTTTACTTCTACTCTCTCACCTGAGCTCTCCTGGAAGATGGCAAACAACCCATCGAAGTGTTTATATCCATCTGAGACGAACAGCAGGTGCAGGGAACTCCCAGAGCTCCTGATTGGAGGAGGCCGCTCGTTTCCACAGTATCGACCAATCAGGCGAGAGTTCAGGCTGTCTCCGTCCCTCACCTCCACATAGTCGTACTGACAGCTGTGGTCAAACTCCAGACTGAGCATCATGAACCTGACACACACACACACACACACGGGAGTCAGTGTGTGTGTGTGTGTGTGTGTGTGTGTGAGAGTGAATATGTCCTTTTATTTGTGTGTGTGAGTGTGTGTTTGGGAGTCTGTGTATGTGTGCTTTCATTTGTGTGTGTGTGTGTGTGTGCATATGTGTGTGTGTAAGTCTGAGTGCTTGTGTGTGTGTGTATGCGTGTGAGTCTGTGTATGTGTGCATGTGTGTGGGTATGTAAGTCTGAGTGCTTCTGTGTGTGTGTGTTTGTGAGTCTGTGTATGTGTGCTTTCATTTGAGTGTGTGTGTTTGTGCGTGCATATGCATGTGCCTGTGTGTGCACATGTTTAAGTATGTGTATGTGTGTTTAAATATGTGTGGCTTTGTTTTTTGTGTGTGTGTGTTTATGTGCTTTAATTTATGTGGATGTGTGAATGTGTGCGTGCACGTGTGTGTGTGTGTGTGTGTGTGTGTGTGTGTGTGTGTGTGTGTGAAAGAGAGAGTCTGTGTATGTGTGCTTATTTAAGTGTGTGTGTGTGTGTGTTCACCTGAGGTCAATAGTGTATGGTCGGTCGACTCTCAGTGTCCATTCACAGCGGGCGTTGTTCGGGTAACTCTCCAACACCAGGTGCCCCTGCCGCTTGTGGATCAGCCCTCCACACGCTCAACACACACACACACACTCAGTCAAATCACTGTGAAACACACATTAGCTGCACACTGTTCATATGCGAGCGTTCTGGGGCAGATATGAAGCTGCTGTCCGGCCTGTGCTAGCAGACTGAGTGGATCCTACAATCACCTCCATCACCTTTAGTGTGTGTGTGTGTGTGTGTGTGTGTGTGTGTGTGTGTGTGTCTGAATAATGCGCAGGTTAGTGTATACTCCATCAGCTGTTTCTGTCAGCCAGTAAACAAATGCAGGTTTGACAGCAGCTTGACGTGTTTTGCTTGTATCAGAAGGTTTGAGAAATGATGGTGCTGCACTGCAGATGTTGTTAAACTCACTCATGCAGTCTCCTCCAGACCACCCCGGCCGGCACTCGGCGCAGTACTGACCCTTCAGGAAGAAGTCGTCCCTCGGGGCCCAGGTGCCGTTATTACAGCGCTTGCAGTTCTCGAAGATGCTGCAGCCTGCGCACCACAAAACACACGCAATGCATGAACACAGGGTAGAACAAACAGCGTTCACTTTCCCTCAGCATAGTCCCTTATTAATCAGGGGTCGCCACAGCGGAATGAACCGCCAACTATTCCAGCATTTGCTTTACACATTGGATGCCCTTCCAGCCGCAACCCAGTACTGAAAAACACCCACACACACATACAGTATAGTATCTGGAAACAAAACCAACCAATATTAGAAATTAATAAATAAATAACAAATAACAGTATACGTATTATTCACACAGTTACTCATATTAAACTGCACCTAAAATTCACAGAAATAAAAACAAATGTTTGAAAAAAGTACATAAACTAAACCCTGTAGAATATAGAGTTTAATTGACTGATCCACTGACAGAAGTTTATTAATAGGTGATTTAATTAGAGTTGCTTATATTATACCTGCCTTACATACTGTAAATAAATAACTACAGTTCTCCATAAATATATTCACAGAAGCAGATATATCTAGTGTTTTTGTTGTTGTTATTCAGATATTTTGCATTTTAAATCTATATATATATATGCGACGCAGTAGCGCAGTAGGTAGTGCTGTTGCCTCACAGCAAGAAGGTCGCTGGTTCGAACCTCGGCTCAGTTGGCGTTTCTGTGTGGAGTTTGCATGCTCTCCCTGCCTTCGCGTGGGTTTCCTCCGGGTGCTCTGGTTTCCCCCACAGTCCAAACACATGCGCTATAGGGGAATTGGGTTGGCTAAATTGTCCGATGGGTTGTGGCTGGAAGGGCATCCGCTGCGTAAAAACTTGCTGGATAAGTTGGCAATTCATTCCGCTGTGGTGACCCCGGATTAATAAAAGGACTAAGCTGACAAGAAAATGAATGAATGAATGAAAATCTATATATTAAGTTAAAGCAGTGTTAATTTATTAAGAAGTCTGCACAGGCTTGAGAGACAACAAATCAGCCAGAAATGAGTCAGTGAGGATATATTTAATGTATGAAACAGGGTGTCGCTGCTTTGAAAATTGTCCTGTTTTGAAACCTGTAACGTTTAGTGCTTTAAATCAAGACGGTTATATTTGTTGTATAAATGTGGAGGTGTTATTTCTTTCTAAATATAGATAAAACTAAGAACTAAGAGGACATAAATGAAGTTGCTTTGGACAAGAGCATCTGCTAATGGACTAAATTTCTAAATTAGAAAAGTTATTTAAATACTATTTTAATCATGAAATTAAAGACTTTTTCAAACAACTTCAACTATTTTTGAAGAAGAAAAACAAACAAACATGCACAGTGTGGGACAAAGTCACTATTTTTCTCAGAAGACATCCTTTTAAAGGTGTTATTGACTTGAAATCTTCACCAGATGTTGGTAACAACCTAACAAATCCATGCAGGATATGCAAAGAAAACTAATTTAATTAGCTTACAAATGAAGGTCTGTGTAATAAAATGAAATGATGCTTGAAATGAGTGTTGAACACATAAAGAAAGCGAGGTGTATTCAGGCAGGGAAAGCCAAGACAGCAGCTGTAATCTCTCAGTAGTTCTTCATCAAGCCTCTGCGCTTCCTCAGTGTACATGAGTGATGCTTGTAAACAGATTTCACGCGTAGAAGTTTCAGTATCAAATACGTCCTTGACAATTATCCTATCCAGTTCTTGAACAAACCCCTATATATACCCTTACCTGCAGCATCTCACGACTTTAGCATCCCTCCACCACCCCGACACCTCACCTCTTAAGCATTACATTCCCAGGGGAAGCGTTCCGGGGCCGGGCTAGATACTTCGCTTGAATCCCAACTCCTCTTTGTTTCCTGATAAGGGGAATAACTCGAGTTGGGGTGTCTCCCCGAGCTCAGAGCCCTCCCCCCGGACAGCACGCCAAATACACCTTATACTTAAACGACTGCAAGTGTGAACTCGTGAAAGATCAGCCGCTTCAGTCCAACATCTACATCAGCAGGAGGATGAAGATCAAACCATCTGAGCAGGACAATGATCCAAAACACAGCCGAGGAGACTCTCAGATGCTTTCAGAGAAAGAAAACCAAGCTGTAGAATGGCCCAACCAATCACCTGAACCGAATCCAATAGAGAAAACAGAATAAAGCTCAGATCTGATAGACCAGACCCACAGAAGCATCCTTACTCTCAGTCTGATGAAGTCTGAGCAGTGCAGGAGAGGCGTCTTTCACCATTGAAGCCTTTATATGAGTATTAAAGTAGTGCTTCCTCCTTCTGTCAGTCCACTGTTACTAGTTTCTCAGATTCTGTTTGTTTTGTTTAGTGTTTATGTGTGTATTGTTTGGGTTTTGCCCAAAATCTGCTTCAGATGCATGCCAGCAGCTCCTTCAGGAATGTCCAGCACTCCTCTCCCCCGCTGTAGCGCTGACCTGTTTCTCTGAGCGTTTGTTTTTCACAGCACACTGCGTTGAGAAACAGTTGTGCTGGAGAATACGAGACACTGACGATGCTAGCGAGAGGCTGGATCCACATCTCCAGAAGAGCGGTGACTGTAAACAGCAGCTGCTGGACTGCGAACATCTGTCCGCCTGCATGTACAGGCATTCTTTAAGAGCAGAGCGTCTACTTTCCTGATGCTGTAAAGGCCGTCACACACACACACACACACACACACACACACACACACACACACACACAGGGAAAGCTCCAGCAGGATGAATGCGCTCACTGTTTTCTGTTTACGAGCTCCAGAGAGGG